ACCCTGTGATCCCACTAGTACATGACTACCTGGCTCGCACTGTTTTGGGAAAGGGATCCAATGCCAGTGGTGTCTACACACCCGATCTCAGGTACATTCACAGTTTCGTTACTGGAACACCATTGTGTGTTGGGTACATGGTGGGTAAGATGCTTGAAAATGATGCACTGAAAACTTGCGGAGCAATTATGTGTGGGGGAATTATTACTGCATTAGCTCGAGCTTACTGGGGGTTCCCAGTGAACCCTACGGGTTTGGAGATCAGTGATGGCTCGACTCTGCTTGGGGAATCAGCGTTATGCAAATTGGGTTTTCTGAGGAAAGCAGGATCTCGTGGTGAATATCTATCCATCGCCAAATACAAGGAGTGGGAGATTAAGGTCAATCGGAAAAGGGCAACAAGGGCTGCTAGAGCAACTTCTGCTTCGGCATCATCTCCCGCACCATCAGTAGTCACTCCGACCACGACTCCAGCTCCTACACCCATGCCTTTGGGTGCTTCATCATCATCACCATCACCAGCAACAGCAGGGCACTCTGCCACAAGCACCCCCAGTTCCGCAGCCAGCAGCTACTCCACCAGTTGTGCCAGCTTCATCATCATCTGAAGACGATCTCAGAGCCAGAATAGCTATCTTGGAAGCCAGAGACGCAGAGAAAGATAAGAAGATCAAGGAGCTACACCAGCGTCTAGATGAGAAGTTCGGCACTTCTTCATCGACCCCTCCTTCATAGGAGCTTGTCCCGAGGTTCTTTTTTCTTTCTTTTCTTCTTTTCTTTGTGAATACTTCTGATGTGGGTTTGTAATAATGTTAGTTAGGTGAACCTGTTGGTGTGTCGTGTGTAGTTATAGACATTGTGGACAATGTCCATCCTGAGTGTGGGGTGGATGGTCTGTGTTCTTGTCGAGTCTTAGTTGTCCACAGTGTCTCGTCATGTGTAAAAAAAAAAATAAAAAAAAACCAAAAAAAAAAAATTGCCATTAGGTTGAGCACAACCAAACTGCATGCAGTTTGCCTGTGTAAAAAGCAGGCTGCCTGTGCAAAGCTAATGGATAAAAAAACACCTAAAAATGAGAAAAATTAAAAACTAAACCTTGTACTCTTGTGGTAACATGATGTAAATGACCGTGATGCCTTGAAAATGAGTTTGTGCTTGAATGAAATCATCGAAATCACCCCAATAGTGTTGAATTGCATGGTTCTTCACAATGAGCTTAAATGTTTTGACTAACTTGATATGCTTGGAATGAGCTACTCTTTTAGCAACATCCTCTTTTGTGAGGATAGTGTAATGACTTTTGGTGAAGTAGTTAGGTGGAGAACATTGACCATTCGACATGTTTGGATACCGTGCTTACTTGCATCAATTGTGAGCTTTTGATTTGGCCACGAGTCTCTCTGTTTTGATGGTTTTATGATGCGGCGAACTGTATCTTTATAAATGAGAAAACACTACCTGACAAGTAAAATATAAGAAAGTTGCCATAACAATTAAAGTGTGGGTAAAAATGCCAAAATCGTGTGAGGCAATCACTCATTGCACATGGGGATGAGGAAAGATTCAATTGAGAATCGGTTCGCGACCGTACGATGTTGCTTATCAAGTACGATCCCCAGTTGAGTGAAGTGCCATTAGAGGATGTGCAATGACCCTCCACACGGACCGAGGAAAAGGAGTTAAAAGAAGCCCTTATGCGAGTGCTAAGAAGCAGAAATTGCTCTTGCTCGGTCACCGGTAGTAAGAAACAAATCCCACTTGTACTAAATACGACCACTCGGCAAGCAAAAGCAGGAAGAGAGAAAGCCTCTCCTTGTCATAAAAGGTAGTGATGTGCTTAAAGTTAAAATCTTGTTTGCGAAAGGCTTCCCCCATTAGTTTTTGAGACTCATGCTTAATTAATTTCTTATGATTGGTGTGAGTAAGCCAGACTGTCCTCACAAGATATGCACCTCACTGATGTGGTTAGATTCTCCTAATAACTGTTGCACCATAAGTTGTTAATCACCCACTACCGACGATCGAAATTGAGTGTTGCTAATTGAGTTTTTCGATGGATTTGAGTCAGTCAACGGTAATGGTTGCAAAGAACTTGAGTGTGGGGTGAAAGGTATGATCATTAAAGCACAACTTGTTTTTTGAGAAAGAAACTACTGATTACAACAAGAGTACAAGGAAATTTTGTGTTTTGCTTTGAGTGTTGAGTCTGTGGTGTGTCATTGTTTTGGATGGTTATGTGTTTCTGTTGTTTGAGTCATTGCTTAGGGACAAGCAACAATTGAGTGTGGGGTTGTGATAATCGGCTTTAATATATCTGATTCTTGAACTTTATGTGATTATCCTATGATATGTTTAAGCCAATTGGTGCTATTTTAGGGCTCGCTAACTCGAGAATGGTTGAAAAACCATTACTGCCTAGTGCCATGAGTTTGATATGTTACAGGTGGAGAAAGCACGAAAAAGAAGCGAGTGCACAAGCAATCAATCGAGCTTGAATCACTGGATGGTTTTGAGCGGAGAAATTAATTGGGCCTAAATCGTTTTGTCTCGGGGAGGAGACGAAATTGGGCCAGAGACTATTTTTGGAGGAGTCAACGAGGGCAAAAGAGGTAGCTATTTTTTGGGACGGAAATTAGCTGGGGCGAATAAAAAGAAAAGAAGCATTGGACCGGACAGGAATTCTTTTTGGGCCAGGGTTGCTGGGCGGAATTGGACAGAAGGAAATTAATCTCGGAAGAGGGAAATCTTCTGGGGGGCCCGAGGAGACTTGGACGGGGAACATAATTCAAAGGGAAAAGAAAGGCAGCTAAGGGGGGACACGAAAGAAGCTGGGAGAAAGAGAGAGCTGGGTGGCGGATTTAGAGAGGGCTGGCAATTATTTGGGGGCTCAATAATTCTTGGGCCGAGATAGAAAGCAGGGGGGAGGAGGATTATTATTGTTTGGACGGAAATTCTTTGGGGCGAAAAACTTTTTGGAGAAAGGAGCGCAACACAAACGCTGGGGACGAGCAACTTCTCATCGAGCAGCAATTGGCGATCAGTTTTCCAGGCTGTTTGAGCTGAATTCAACGAGAGCGAATAGTTGGTTGGATTTTCTGAACCGAACTAGTTGTGTATTGTTGATTTAGAACATGATGATCAAAACCCTAATGTTTTATCTCAATTTCATCATGAACTAAACCCCAATTTCTGGGGGAAACACCATAGGATGTAGCTATTTCTTGATTTGATGGATTGATTCATGATTCTTTTCTTCCAATCTCTATTGCATGAAATTACTTAATGCTTTGTGTTGACTGGCCACCAATACAATGAATCGTAGTTAATTAGGTTATTAGCGACAGTGAAACCCTAATAACTGAACTTATTTCATGTGACATAGTAACTTATCGAAGCGACAGTGGATTAAATAAGGTGTTATGCGGTCTTAAATAGGATATCGGTCTTCAGACTAAATCATTAACTCATTGAGCTACGACAGTAGGATTTGATTTAATTGTTTAGTACGTAGTCATTCCCGACAGGGATAGCTAGCACAGTAGTGATATCCTGGCTGTAGAGATATGGATTAAATTGATTGGAATATGTGAATTAATCTGGATAGGATAGGTAGTGAGTCCCGGTGTTTCTCCCAGAGCTTTCTCCCATTGATTTAAACCCGACACTTTAATTTGCTTGTTTTGTTTAATTACTTTGCTATTAGATCATAGTTTCATCTCATTAAACATTTTCACATATAGTTTGCTCAATAAAATTGATAGAACTTAAGGTTGTACCAGTCCCTGAGAGACGATACCCGGACTTTCCAGTTTACTACAAGATAGGAATTGAAGCTATACGCTTTTGCCCTATCACTAGCCCAGAAGAAGACTTCAGAGATGTCGTAACAGACTCGGATTCACCTCCGTTGAAAACAAGGTCTTTGCGAGAAATTTATGAAACAAGTCATGTTACATATTTTTCTTGTGAACCTCAAGTCTTTGAAGAAGCATCCAAAGAAGAAGTTTGGAACGAGGCAATGAATGCAGAAATTTCCATGATCGAGAAAAACAAGACATGGGAGCTTGTTGATCAACCGGAGAGCAAGCCGGTTATAGGTCTCAAATGGATCTATAAGATCAAATTCAATGAAGATGGTACTATCCAGAAGTACAAAGCTCGTCTGGTGGCGAAGGGCTATTCACAACAGCCCGGTATTGATTTTCACGAGACATATGCACCAGTAGCGAGGATGGAGACCATCAGAACAATTCTCGCTCTAGCTGCTCAACTGGAGTTACCAGTATACCAGCTGGATGTCAAATCAGCATTTTAAAACAGAGAACTGGAAGAAGAAGTCTATGTGGAGAAACCACGAGGCTATGAGAAAAAAGGAGAAGAAGACAAAGTCTATCGTCTTCGAAAGGCTTTATACGGGCTGAAGCAAGCACCGAGAGCCTGGAACAACATAATTGATCGATATTTTCAGCAAAACGGATTTCAAAGAAGTCCGAGTGAAGCATCTCTCTACATCAAAAAGGGAGAAGGAAAAGATTTTCTAATGGTTTGTTTGTATGTTGATGACTTGATTTACACAGGTACAAATCAACATATGATCGAAGAATTCAAAAGTACCATGATGAAAGAATTCGAGATGACGGACTTGGGAGTCATGAAATATTTTCTTGGGATCCAAGTGAAGCAGTCACCTGGAGAAATATTTATTTCACAGGAGAAGTACACCGAGGATATGCTCAAAAGATTTCACATGGCAACATGCAAACCAATCTCAACACCGTTGGCGTTGAACGAGAAATTGCAACGCAATGATGGAGCTGAAAAAGTCGATGGAAAGTTGTACAGAAGTCTTGTCGGGTCACTCATTTACCTGACACATACCAGGCCGGATATATGTCATTCAGTAAGTCTTATATCAAGATTTATGAATGAACCTAGCAAACTTCATTTTGCAGCAGCCAAAAGAATTTTGCGGTATCTTCAAGGTACTAAAAAAATGGCCTGATGTACAAGAAAGAAGCAGAAAGCAAGCTGACTGAATATACCGATAGTGACTGGGCAGGATCACTAGATGATCGAAAAAGCACATCGGGGTACATATTCTGCCTGGGTTCAAAACCCATTTCATGGAGTTCAAAGAAGCAAAAGACTGTTGCTCTATCTTCAGCGGAAGCAGAATATATCGCAGCTACAGATGCAGCATGCGAAGCGGTATGGCTAAAAAGATTAATTTCTGATTTACAGCAAAGTGAAAATGGTCCAACCATTATTCATTGTGACAACATGTCAGCCATAGCCATGACAAAGAATCCAGTATTTCACGCAAGATCGAAGCATATCGAGTTGCGTCATCATTTCATCCGAGACCTCGTCAACGAAGGATTAATCGTGATGGAATTTATCAACACCAATGATCAGCCAGCAGATATCATGACAAAGGCGGTCACCGGTGAGAAATTCGAGAAGTTCAAGGAGCTACTCCAAATTGCAAATTAAGAGGGGGTGTTAAAAGGTAATTTGCAATATGGTAAACTTATCTAAAGTTGTCCCCATTGTCATCATCTCAAGGAGACATACAATAACTCATTAGTTGGAACTAGCTATCAAATTATGCAAGTTGGTTATGACATGAGAGGCTAGTTGATTGATGACAAGAAGATTCAACAACCGGTGAATTATGCAGGCACCTCACATGTCCAGCAAATGAATTGAGAAGCTCAACTAGATGAGAAATAATGCATGGGACATATATATTAAAGACCATGTTTGCTTATCCATTCACGTCCACATGCAATGTCATGTAATAGTTATTGGTTCTTTCATATTCATTATATATATGTAATGTATGAGAGAATGAAAAGGGTCAGAGAAAGAAAAAGAAAAGAAAGAAAGGCATAAGTATGCCATATGTATCTCATCCATCTTTTGTGAGTGTAAAAGTATAAGCCAAATTAATAAGGCTGTACTTATGTTAAGTTTATTCTTAAATTGAGTGATTAAACGAGCACTTTTACTATGCTATATAGTATTGGTGCTTTAATGTACAACTTAAAGTTGTACCATAACATTAAATGTATAAGTTTAGGTTGTACCATAAAGCAATTTGTACCATTATGTTATGGTACAACTTTACAGCTTGAAGTTGTACCATCACATAAAGGTACAAGTTCAAGTTGTACCATAAAAGAATTTGTACAAAAAGTATAGGTACAATCTGAAGTTGTACCATAACGTAAATGTACAATTTTAAGTTGTACCATAAAGCCAAAACCCTATAGCACCAATACTATATAGTATTGTAAAATTTCTCGTGATTAAACACCATAAGTTTATTCTGACCTCCTTTTCTGTGTTTTGATTCTCGTCAAGGAGAAGAAGAATGGAGTTCGCCGGACGTCGAGGGCTCCTGGCGACGGTGCGAGGAAGAAATGCCACCGGCCAGGTTCGATTCCTGGGTAAGCTATTTTGATTTCAATACATTGATTTTCGTTTTTTCGATTTCTGAGTATTACAGTTCTAACTTGTTTGTGTGTGTTTTGATTTGGATCCGATCGATGGGAGGCGAGAGGTAGACAAGGGAGAAATGGCCGCCAAGGAGGAGAGGAAGGATAGCCGGCTGCCGAGTGCCCTGTCGGCGACGGGAACCGAAAAAGGCAGAGGCGATGGATTCGGTAAGGTGAAATTCGCCATTTTTATTTATGCTTGTCGTATTTTGGGGTTTATTTGATTTAGTGTTCTGACCCTTTTATTTCGTTTTTGTCTTGGGGCTTTGGATGGCGGAAAGAGAGAGGAGAAAAGAGCTGCCGCCGGCATCCCCTGACTTCACCGGCGGCGAAGATAACGGCGAACAAAAGGAACATCTTTGGGGTGAGATTGGGTTTATTTGTTGGTTTGAATTTCCTAATTACGGTACCAATGTTATGGAAGCTTAGTTTTTTTAGTATTCAACTCGCATAGATGGTTTAAGTTTAGCACTTTAGATTAAGGTTGGTTTAGAATAGCTCGAATTATCTCAGTTTGGCTGACTATTATCAGCAAATTCTGGAATCTTGTGATGGTTCAAGGGGATTTAAGTCTAAAGATCTGTTGGTTTTTTCTACTTTTATCGTTACATTCCATCTGGTTGGTTCTAATCATCTACATGCTAGATGAAAGAAAGGTAGAAATCTAAACAAAATGATAAATGCAACAAATAGCAGTGGTTATAGATAGGTATTAGGAGTAGTAATATTACACACAACGGTAAACTAATAAAAGCTAATGAAAAACAAGTTAACTTAAATCAAGTTACATATAAACCAATATAGATTGGTAGAAATAGACATACGACAAAAAAATATAAAGTGTTTTAAATGTGAAGCAAATTGATTCAGAATCTGAGTTTATCTTTGGCCAACTTGTATTTTGTTTGGAATCAATTGGTTTCGATTCTTTTTAAACAAAATTAGCTTGCTTGTAGTATGTTTGGAAAGATTGAATTTTAGATGGTTATAGGCTAGAGGTGGCAAATAGGATTCAAATCCACGAATCCAATCCAATCCATCCACCAAATTATCCGCCTAATCCAATCCATTTAAATCCAATCCATTTGATCCAAATTCAATTGGATTGGTGGATTCATGGATCAATCCATGGATCTAAATGGCAAATTATGATTTGGTACCTATATTTTTTATATTATACATTTGATACCTAAAATTTATATTTTTATACGAAAAATATCATTGGAAAATTACATTTTGGTACCTAAAATTTTTCATTATGACATTTTAGTACCAAAACTTTTCAAATTTTACATTTTGGTCCAAGCCTTTGATGTCATTTGGATTCATGGATCAATCCACCAATCCATTGGATCCAATCCATGAATCCACCAATCCATTGGATCCCATCCATTTGATCCATGGATCCACCAATCCAATCCACGAATCCGATCCAATTGCCACCTCTTATAGGTGATGAATGGTAAAGATGATGATTGTGATGATCTAATTGGGATTCCTACCTTTTGCTTGTAGCTTGTATGTAGTCTGAAGCTGTTTTCTCCCCTTTTCCACTTTGGGGATGCCTTTGGGTCTTCTTTTCTTTCCTTGTTTGTGATTTTCTAGTTTGGTTTTGGTGTTTTGATATTTTGGGATTAATGATTTGGTTTATGCCGTTTGAGTTAATTTGAATGATCTGGATGTTGATGTTTCGAGTGTTTGATTCTGGAAATGGATAGTGTATTTTATGGTGGGTTTGAATCAGGAAATTTGGGAGTGTTCATGGTGTCTGATATGGAAGTTAGTTCATGGTTGATTGAAATATAGAAGTTTACTGTTGGTTTGATCCTTAGAGTTGGTTTGTGGTGATTGTGATGGTTTTTGGCTAAGAAGGCTGGAGGTGAGATGTCGAATATGTATGAATGGTGATGATTATATTTGAGATTTGGTGTTACCAACCTTTGATTGTTTACGGCTTGGAGATGACTATGCCTCCTGTTTTCCAGCTTTTGTGGAGTTTGCTGCCGCTTGTCTGCTTCCCTCCTTTTAGCTTCCTTTTTGTTGTTTTTGGTGACGTTACAGTGTGTTTGTGTTGTTATATTTAGGTTGTTATTTTGTGGTATTGGTTTGGCTAATAAGGAAGGGGAGAAGGAAATAAGAAAGCTTCAGGGTCTTTCTTCCTTTTCTGTGAGTGGGGCTCAAGAAGAAGTAAGAAGTAGAAAGGAGTTTAGAGTTTTGGTTCTCACTCTTCTGTTTCTTTGTGTGTCTTAGTGTGTTTTTTTGCTGGTTTGATCAGGAAAGGAAGAGGGGAGTGCCAAGAAGAAGAAGATGAAGAAGAAGTTGTGGCTTTTTAAGAAGGGGAAGCAAACTGCAGTCAAGCCGAACAAAGAACTCCTCCCCTTTTCTTGGCCTACAAGGCCTCTCATTTATAGTAGGGAATTATACTGTAGCTCTACAATAGTTAAAGGTTGTGCACTGTTCTTATTGGCTGTTAAGGGTAGGGGATAAGTGTATTTTTTTGATTGGCTAGTAGGGTAGGTTTAGGTTAGTTGTATTTTTGTGATTGGTTGAGGATTGGGCTGGGCCTGTGCCTGGTTGAACCAGTCTAGTTCGACCGGCATTGGATCTGGACTGAGTATGATTGGGCTTGGATTTTTAGGTTTGGTTGACTGTGATATGGGCTTGACCCAATTTAGGCTTGTTGACTTGCATTTACCAGAGTTGACTACGGTTTGGGCTTCTACTTGAGCCCAATTTCTTTTATTGTACAATTGTAATTAGAATCTAATAGCAAATTAACATTGTAAATATTATGGATTATAATAATGATTTTAGTATTTAGCATTGTATTTATCTTAATAAAATTGTCATGTCTTCTATTTTATTTTTTAGAAATTGCGACCCAATTCTCACAAGACCCAATGTCTTACGAATCAATTAACTAGCATGACAATCAAACTGAAGCCTAACTTGTCTAAACATGTGAAATCATCACTAATAGAATGTGTCAACTGAGATTTGCTATTGCTGATCTCATTAACTTATGGCAAACAAACACCCAATCCAAGCACTACAAATACGTTTTAGCTATAAGGTCATTTAAGATTTGCTATTGCAAGCCTTAAATTGAAACTAAATTTTATTTGATTAAATATGTTTATAACCCGGAGAAAAAGTGGTGTCTACACATCTCACTTGTTGGAACCCCTTTTTCTTTTTGTTTGTTCCTTTTTTCTTCTTTTGCTTTACTTTACTAGGGTTCCAACTGCAGTTTTTATGCGCGATCGGCCCTTATTTGGTGAGCAAGAGCAATTTCTGTACATATGTTACTCGCCAGAGTACTTCTTTTAACTCCTTTTCATCACTTCGTGTGGAGGTTCAATGAAATTAAGGGGTGTGAGAAGCTCTATCCATACCCTTAAAAACACATTCTCAAGTAGGCAAACCGTTCAACGGATGGAAACTTTACTTGTACCAGAGATAGCTTAGCTTCACCTTGTAGGCCTACCCCACTAAGGATCACTAAAATCTCTTCCAAAACCCAAATTTATGCAATGAACGGTGCCACACACGTTGGGCTTACCCCATGTCTTAAAATTTCAAAGTTTTGGCATGGAGGACCAACTACCTTTTCATTTCACACAATTGAGCACCTTTTCCGATACACGAGTCCACAACACAACATAAAAGGAGTCATCAATACCGCATGAATCAACGGTCCTGAATCCACTAGTTCACAAAATCAACCGACACAACAGATAGATAGGAAAAATCTTATACTTAAACATCCTCCATAGTGCTACAACTACCTCCCAAGGTTGCATATCACCATAAAGACTGTCAATTCAAAGCATACTGAGCAGGGTATTTCATGGAATAGTGCTTGGAGCCCTCAATTCATCAAATTGGACAGTGGACTAGGTTCCAAGCACACAAACTCATCTATGCAGTCAAATATAGATAAACACCCCCACACTTAAGCACGACATTGCCCTCAATGTAGCAGAGGGGAAGATAAGGGGAAACGATGTTACCTGGGAAAAGGACTGTCGGGGGACTGGAATCTGGACAAGTCATCAAGGACAGACGAAAAGATGGACCAGTTTCTGCACGAAGGGAACACGAACAAAAACCACTAGCAGATTGTGCGTTAGGGATCATCGTTAGTCTAGAGGGGCACAAAACGAAAATCCACAAAAGAAAAACACACGAAAGACTCGGTTCAAGCTCCGCACACACATGGAGCAAACATGAAAAATCCAAAACACTCAAAGGGCCGAGGAGTACAGACTACTCGTGGCCGAGGTCGTCGAAGTTGATGTCCTCGATGAATGCGTCGTCACCAGCCGGTTGGGGTGGTAGGGGGAGAGTCCTCCCAAGGAGTCCTCCAGAGTGGCAGGGCGTTCTAAACCTACACTAACAAGAAATGCTGGACCTCCTGCATCTGGCAAGTCCGTCCCCCCTCGCGCTCGATGTGGGCAAGGGTGATGCCCTGCTGGGCCTCCATACGGTCGAGGAGCTCATTATATGCAGCCATCCGGGTGGTATACTCGGCCTGGTGGGCCGAGTACTGCTTCTGGAACTGAAGCTGATGGTCGAGGATCTGCTGGTTCTGAAGACTCGGCTGCTGGACATAGTGAGAGAAGTAATATTGGGACGAGAACGTAAAGCAGCCACCCCCATGCTCATATGTGCTCTTGTAGAAAATGGGAGGGCCGCCAGCAGCGTCCACATCCTTGGGGGAAACGTCATAAGCATCCGCAGGTGGGTCAGGAATGGTGGGGACTGGAAAGCCCTCAACCCACTTGACGTCGCGGGAGACCCTCAACAACCGCATCTTCAAGGCAAGGTCCTCCCTAAAAAACCAGGTGCCATTCTGCTCCGTGCAATCATGATAGGGGATCTGAAAATGGTCGGCAAGCACGGTGATGAGTGGGGTGCAGTGGAGGGCCCCCAGAGTTTGCGCACTATTGGCGAGAGTCCTCGCCAAAACAGAGCCAGGTGGAGGTTGTGGTGTCGAGTGCGGATCGAGTGGATGAAGTAGAGAGACAGCTTGGTCAGGGTGCTGGCACTCTCGCTGCTCGGAGCATAAGACTTTGTGAGCAGGTGGTGGAGCAGACGATTCTCTATCTACAGAGTGTTGGCCTTCGTCCGACCAGCAGTGAAGGGGTTCTGAGATGGCTGAGCTAGCTGACGGTACAAAGCCAAGAAGGAAACGCCGGCTGGATTAACGACCACGGTGATATAATCATCGTCGTTGTCAAGGTCGAGGTCAAAAACGATAGCAAACTCATGGTAGCTCATCGAGCGAGGTTCACCGCCCAGCCTGAAGTTGATCGCCCCGCTTTCCTTCCAGTCGGTGGTCTCGGTGTGCATAAATGTGGTGGAGAACTCGAGCACCAACTCGTACTAGACCTTCTCATGCACAACCAGCAAGAGGCGCCTTGCTCGGTTGAGAGCAACAGCATGGAGGGCGTCATAGCAGTTCAGCTTCTAGAATTCCCTCTTGCTCCAACAATGATGCTCTCCAAATTTAGACGTCAGGACGCGCTTGAATTGAGCCTTATGGGGTCTTGTCCTCAGATCACTGATGCACCGATGCCTAAGGTTCGGCTTCGACATGTTCCTGCAAGAAAGTAAACCAAAGTGGAGCCAAAAGAGCCATGGGAAAGGTCAAGCCCACCCCTAACTTAATAACAGAAAACAGCCAAACCATAGTTTCATCCATAGTTCTGGGGTTAATAACTCGAGCAAGATAGTGCAATCTGGGTGGGGGTTCACATCAACAATATACTAGGCAACTTAAGGTTCACATGCATAGAAAACACACCATCGGATCACATTATTAAGGGCCCCAACCGGCTCCCACAAAATGGGTATGAAAAACTGGCATTTCATCAAACACCTTGTGTGCACTATTAAAGTAAGAACACCTTGTGTCCACTATCATAGAATTGATGAATTCCTAGCACACAAGGGCTCAATCAAGCAAGGACAACATGCCATAACACATTGAAGACCTAAACCAAACCTTCCCCTCAATCAATTGCAATCAAATCGCACATTTCAAAGTGATTCTCTATCTATATAACCTAACACCCAATTCTCCACAATTCACAAGGTAAAGGAAAAAATAAAACCTGGAGACACAAGTAGAGGTGTAGGGGATGATGAGGGGAAGGCAATGGAAGTGACGAAACGCCCAAATTCTGCCCGGAAATGCTCGTAGGAGCCTCGCCGGAGTCTCGCCGGAAATCGCCTCCGGTGACCTAAATCCGGCCCATATCGCCTCAAACCGAAGGAAGAGGTCAAAAAGGAGGGGGCAAGATGGGTTTGAGTAGGGGTGGAAATTGGTACGGTATCGGTATCCCAATACCAAATACCGAAATCCCGAATACCGAATTACATCCTAAAGTCAATCCCAATCCCAATCCCTAAATAATTTCGGTATCCCAATCCCAATCCCTAAATATTTCGGTTTCCCAATCAGTACTTCGGTATCCCAATCGGTATTATAAAAAACAAAATTAATTACCTTTACAATTAATAATTAAATATATAAATTAAATTTTATTGTTTAATTTATGGGAAAAAGAATAAGCAAAGAGTTTTGAAATAGGATATTGACTCACTCCTACTGTCACTCTAGAAAATGGCCAAGTGTAACCACTTCCTAAAGCGTAGTATAGCGGGTTTGGGTTTTATTGTCAACCCGGGTCCTAGATGTGATGACTACTCGGTGAATTCTTGTTATTTAGCGGTGAACTTTTAGTGCAACTCAAGCAAACAAAACACAAAGCAAGTAAACGGTTGTTGTCAAGTCAAGAGAGGTCACCCAGATATGGTTCCCCCTAGACTGCAGTTAAGTCGGATTGCAATTTACCAAGTTCAGTTTTCATGAAAGTTATACTGCGGAAGGTTCTCAATTAGCCTGAAGTCTCGACTAAAGGTCTCCTGACCCTCTCAATCTGAGTCTCTAGCGGGCGACTAACCTCCACCGGAGTAAACAGATTGAGGCCCTAACGAACCAAACCTCCACTACCGAATTGAATTCGGTACAGAATAGCGAATTGGCTCCTCGACTAAAGTCACCAATTCGCCACCTTCGATTAAGGGTACTCTATCAACCTAGGCAGATATTCTCATTCTAGGTCAAAGCAGAAACAACAGGAATTTGATCAGGATTCAAGTCATTCAATCATTCAAACCTCAATCGAATATAATCAATTCACAAACTCTGTACTTGGGTTCATACAATCAGACCTAGCATACACATCTAGGGTTCCCCATACCCAGATGAATGGGGAAACTACTCCATAGAGAAAGAAGCAAAAGCAGATTCAGACGCGGAAATCATACTGTGAAGATGGATTCATGCTCCTGGACGTTTAATCGCACTTCTCCAAGCTCAAGCCGGGCTCCAATGGTGTTGAAGATCGATCTATGGCGCTTGGGAACTCTGGTTCGTCGCTTTCTCTCTCTAGGTATCGCTTTCTCTCTCAAAAACTCGGAACCCTTCAATGTTGGCCTTCTTCTTCCTTATATCAGCTGCCTGGTCGCGATACCCGGTCGAAATACCCGGTCGGGTATCTTGGGTTTCGACCGGGTATTATCGCAGCGCACCGTTTCATTCAAAGGAGAAATCCCCGGTCACTCGCCATAATCCCCGACCGGGGATTTTGCTGTTTTGCCCGGGCCCCTCTCTGATTCTCGGGCGCCCAAAAGTGATGAATACCCGGTCGGGTATTTGGCCACCTGACCGGGTATTTTCCTCCTGCAGCCCACTTTGTCCCAACTTCGCTCCTTTCGACCCAGAA